AATATTTATACTAAAAGTATTGTGATACCAAAAGTATTAGTATCAAAAGTATTGGTACCAAAAGTATTGTGATACCAAAAATAATAGTACCAAAAGCATTTATACTAAAAGTATTGTGATACCAAAAGTATTAGTACCAAAAGTATTCGTACCAAAAGTATTGTGATACCAAAAATAATAGTACCAAAAGCATTTATACTAAAAGTATTGTGATACCAAAAGTATTAGTACCAAAAGTATTTGTACCAAAAGTATTGGTATCAAAAGTATTGGTACCAAAAGTATTGGTACCAAAAGTATTACTACCAAAAGTATTACTACCAGAAGTATCGTTACCAAAAATATTGTAATACAAAAATTATTGTGACACCAAAAATATTGTGATACCAAAAGTATCAAATTGATATCAAAAGTGCTACTAAAAATATGGTGATACCGAAAGTTTAAATAACAAAATTACCAAATTGATATGAAATTTGGATTTCAAATTTTTGAAGTTGGAACTTTCATATTAAGTATTAACTGTCATAAAATATAATTATAATTAGACCATAATTAAAAATAAAAAATTTTATTTTTCATTTTTCCCAAAATATTATAGTAAATTCTTCTCTACACACATTGCGAGAGATTTATTTTTCAACAAAAAAAAAAAAAAGAAATTGTTTGTTTTGAGAATTTTTAATCAGTGGACATTGTCGGACATGAGGGGGAGAAAAACGTGGAAAATCCCCGAGAATCTGTGTATCAAATGCGTTTGTGACGCGGTTAGAAGCGAAGGGTTAGAGGGATGGGAGAGGGAGGGTAAGGGGGGGTGGGATGAAAAAAAACGCCACAACATCTCTGTGTGCTTCAGGCGAGGATCATATACTTTCTCTGCGAAGAATATAAACGGCTTTGTTGAAAAATCCCAACTTTCACCAGACTCAACAAACGTACATTGCTGGACAGCCAACTCGAGTCACGTCGTTTTGGATTCTTTCCAAACGGCCTACTCTGTGATTTGTGTCCTTAGCGACAGACAACGAAGAATTAGAGTGAGAGCTTAAGCACTTTTTTTTGGTCCAAGAGATGTGTACCAAAAAAAAAAAAAAAATTCTCTCCTCATCGTTTTTTGTTTAAGTTCAATTTTCTTTTCGTTCTTTTTTTTTTTTGTTTTACCACAACAAATCCTCTACAAAAATAATTTACACTTCTTGCACGTTAATCCTAAAACAATTTGTCCATTCGTTAATAAGCGAATTTATAATAATAATTATTATTATACATTTATTTTATTAAATGTTTTAAAAAATATTGATATTTTTTTTATCTTGGTCTGATTAAAAACTGGTTTTTACTACTAATACCAATATTATAAAATTTTCAATTGTATTGTCTGACTTTTATTGACTTATACTACTGATAAAAAATTAATATATTTTTTTTTTTTTGCTTATATTAATTTTTACAACTGATATTATAATAAGAAAATTTTTATATACTTTGTCTGACTAGAATTTGCTATTACTACTTATACTAAAATCGCAACAATCTGTCTGACTAAAACTTGGTTCTACTACTGATAACAGAAATTAACATTATTATGTGAAAACAAATATTATAAAAAATTTTAAATGGCTTCTTTTTTCTTTTTAGTACTAACACTGAAACTAATAAAAAATAGTTTTAATTTTTATGACTGAAATTGACCTATACTACTGACAGAGAAGCCTGAAAAATATTGACAAATTTTTAAGACGACATGAAATTAAATAAAAAGTTCAGAAAGAAAAAAAAAAGGGAACAATTTCATTTTCATATATATTTTGATAATCCTAGAAAGTTTGTCTGATAATCGAAAAGAAAATCACGTTGCAATTTACTCCACACCCCCTTGTTTTAAACTGATTTTAGATTAAAATTCAAATTACATACCTTTACATTGGATTAAATTTAAATCTCATATCTCAGATTAGATTAAAATTAAATTACACATCTTTAGATTATTATTATTATAGAGTTTAAATTTAAGGATTAAATTTTAAAATGAATTTCTTAATAATTGAGGACAAAATGTTGCGCTAATAAATATGGAAAAAAAAAGATAATTATTAATTCAACTGCTGTAAACAAAGCTTTTGTAAAATAAAAAAAAATATTTTAATTTGCAAAAAATGAAAACCATTTTTTTCTTCAAATTAAAAACACTTTCTTTTGTTATAAAACTAATTTTATTTAAGAAAAAAAAAATTGTTTTTTTCAAAATAAAAAAAAATATTTAAATTTTCTAACAATGAAAACCGTTTTTCCTTCAAATTAGAAAAAAAATTATTTTCTCCAATTTTTGTTCTCAATTACGTATATATATATATATATATATATATATATATATATATATATATATATGTGAAATTCATTTGTTTGTGCCTCGTTTAATTAGAAAGTTGCTATTTAGAAATGTGGATAGAGTCCTCCATGCTTCTCTCAGCTATTCTATAATCACTGACCTATTTTCTTGTTGTATATATATATACATATACGTGTGTAAGATAAACCGTATAGTTAGCGAAAATTTAATAAACCCATCGACGCGAGTTGCTGGGTTATATATATATATGTTGCGCGCGAAGAGAGAAAAGAGATGAATAATATAAATTAAATCTGGCACGATTACAACCATCTCGATTCATGCACAGTGAAGAGGCAAAATTGAAATTAGCCAAGGTATGATTGGATATATTCTGCTGATGAAATGCATATGGCGTTAAACTGAATGATAGTTCAACCGTAATCTACCCCTTCCAAAAAAATAAACATTTTAGACTCTACCAATATTAATCCTTCAATTATCTTTATCTGTTATTTTTTCAATTCAATTAACTTTTAGTCAAAATATTTTTACTTTTTTTTACAAAATTTAATTACTTTACCCCACGAAACATTATGACGTTCATTTAATTTTGAAAATTTTGCTTTATCCTCGAAATTGTATTCTGTGAATTTAAATTAAAATCAATTTTTTAAATTAATAAATTTTATATAATTTAATGAAACTTTTTTTTAATTTAATAAAAAAAATTTTTTTTTATATTATAAAACTCAATATCTTTTTTAAATTAAAATTTATTTTTTAAATTAGAATTAAAAAATTGTTTTTAAATTAAAAAAAAAACAAATTTTGATTTCTCTGCTTAAATATATTTCTCAATGTATTTTAAATTATTAAAGTAATTAAAATTAATAATTATTTTTTATTTGAATATCAATTCTATAAGAAATTAAGTTTAGTATTAACCTGAATGTTCATGTGTCGTAAGAAAAGGACAATGTAACATCACTGACTGAAACGGATGGTAACTCACGTTCTCTTGAGGCGTGTAACCTGTTAACCTGTTATTGTTTGGGGGATTTTCATGGAACAGCGACACATTTCCCACCCTGGTGGAAAGTTACTTACCGTAACTTGACTCTACCTCTTAGAGACTAAAATATATTCTCTCAGTTTTATTTATTATTCTGTTTTCCTGACATTAACTAGTCCTTTTACATCGAAATAAAGTCACTTATACAAATGACATTTTGTAATTTCAGTAATATTAATTAAGGCACAAAAAAACTGTCCCACTAGCGAAAAAATTCAATTAAAAAAAAAATTTCTATTTTTAATTTTCCAAAAATTGGATTATTTTTTTTTTATATTAAAGTTTTTTTTCACTCGAAAGGTAATTTTTTTCTTCCTTTTTGTTTTTGGACTCGCGAAAAGCGTTAAATTTCGTTTATCGTTTGAAGATTTCAAAAAAAGATTTATAGACGAAAAAATATAAGGGGATTGAATTTGGCGTAGTGTCAGAATAATTTGTAAGTATAACTCATGAAGAAAAGGTAACACCTGTGCGCGTAAAAGAGTTCTCGATTTTTATTTCAGTATATGCCTCAATTTATTCGACTCTCACAGATCGATTACAAAATCTGTTCAAAAACCTTCTAGTGTTTTTTTTTTTTTTTTTTTTTTTGCTGTTCCTGAAAAATAGTTTATGCATTGCTTCCAGAGCGACCGCAGTAGCGGAAAATGAAATTTTTTTCGATAACGTAAATCAGTAGATTGTCGATGTTATAACGGCAATTGGAAATTTGTGTTTTAAATCCCTGAAATTGAGAATGTACCCCGTGTTGTGAATTTTACAGTTTATTTTGTTCGACATTATTATTATTTTTTTTTTTTTATAATAGAGAAAACAAAAACTGTTTTTTTTTTTAAAAAAGAAGAAAAATTTTAAAATAAATAAAAATTTGCATTCGTTTTATTCGACTAAAAATTTATTTATTAAATAAAAAATAAGCAAGCATTATGATTAAAATTTAAATCGTTTTGTCTGACAAAAATCGACTTTTACTACTGATATTGAATTTATTAAAATGTAAATCGTTCTGTCTGACTTTAAAACTATTTATAAAACTTTATTTTCGCCAGTTTTGTCTAACATTGACGTTTATTACTTAAAAAACAATGACAAAAATTTTAATTATTCCGTCTGACGAAAATTATACCTATACTACTTATGTAAAATTTGCAAAAACATCATGTCTGACTAAAACTCTCTTTTACTACTAACTTTATTATTTTGGAATCAACTATATTATATTAGTCAAAATCGAAATTTAAAATAAAATAAATCATTTCCATTAAAAAGAATGTGAGTAATAAATATGAATTAGCGAATAAAAAAATACGACTATAAAAATTATTATTAGAACAATAAATATAAAATAACGTTGGCTATTGGATAAATAAGAGTCCTTTGCAATATTTGTGGCTATAAATCAAAAAACTCGCGAGGTGAAAAATCCGCGCAAGTTTCCTGAGGACAATTTAAAAACAATTGTATAGTGATTCAACTGTATTTTTCTTTTCTATTTTCTACTTTCTGTATCTATATCTAAAACTATATCTATATCTACAACTATATTTATACATCTATATATAGGTAATACATGAGATTTTTAAACTTTGCTTTCAGAGGCGCCTCGAGGGACGTATTTGTTGATAGATGGCCGAAGGTTGGATCCAGGAAATCAGTTTGTACCGGTGAAAGAGGGCTCGGAACTGACACTCGAGTGTGCAGTGGATGGTGGTAACCCACCTCCAATTCTTGCCTGGGGCATGACTTTATCTCAAGCAACATTGGATGGTCCTGAACAACCACCAGACAATCTCACCATTTTACCAAACACTTCTGGTCGACATAGTGGAGCACATCTCAAAGTGTTAAGGGGTCATCATAATGCCACCATTATTTGTGTCGCTCGACACGTCACACTTCCAACTCCACTCAACGCCAGTATTCTACTTGACGTTCAATGTGAGTTTTACATAATTTATGAATTAATCATTTTTTTTTTTTTTTTTTTTGCCAACACACTCTCTCTTTACATGTTTTATAAGAGAAAGATTTTCATAAATCTTGTCAAGTGAATGCTTTTCAACATTCTTTTTCCAAACCAGGATTTTTTAATTTTTTTTTTTTGTTTTTATACGTTATTTGAAATTTAAAAAAAGGAATTTTATCGCGGAGTATCAAAAAAAAAAAAATTAACGTTTGCAGAAAAATTGGATATTTTTTTTTTTTTTTATTGTAAATTTATCAAAACTAGAAATAATTCAGTAGGTCGAAATGAAAAAATAAAAAAAATTTACTCTTAATTTACAAAGTCAAATAATTCTGTAATGAATTTTTTTTTCTGGTCCCTGAACCAACGTGACTCTATTGCAAACAAAAAAAAAAAAAAAATTCACTTTTACAAAATTAGTTAAACGAGAATCCTCTTGTCTGACTAAAAATCGAAGAGATACACGTGTGTGTCTGACTAAACATATTCACTTCCACTGTGTATACGCAATTACCCTCTGTCCGACAAAAAAAGGCGCACATTTCTACTATATATATAGAAAGTAAATACGATACGGTCAGACTGGAATAAAAATAAAACTATTTCTCCTGAATATGTCGACGCAAAAAACGAGAAAGAATGTTTCATTTTTATAAATATGCACTTAAATCGACATTTCTCTTTTTTCATATTCGATTTCAAATATTATGCAGCGAAACTGTGTTTCGAATACTAGGGTGAATTTTTTTAACCAAATTTAATTTATTTGAATAAAAAGAGAAACAATAAAATTTTTATTAAATAAATAAATATATATTAAAAATATTTCTCAAAGAAACTAAATAACTACACTCAAAAAGAGTAATCTCCAATTAACAGAAAAATCCCTCTTTTGTTATTTTTTTTAATACAAAATATTTGTTACGAAAAATTCTATTAATTTGATTGTCTTGACATTAATACCTGGAATTTTTTTTTTGAGATTTTAGTGTCAAAAACAGATAATTAAATGCAATAGGGAAATTCTTTTTAAATGAAGATTTTTATTTTTTGAAAAATATATAAATATATATGAATACACTGAAAAAAAAAATTTGATTCCAATACTCGATTACTTGACTATTATCAAATAAATATTTACTTGAACCAAATAATTTTTATTTGAATTAAATAAATTGTATTTGAAGCAAACTGAAAAAAATGTTTGGTCAGTACAACCAAACTTTGGTTGTGTTAACCGAATTGTTTGATTAGCCTAACCAAAGTTTGGTTGTACTAACTGAACATTTAAGTGCTCGGACCATACAATTTTTTCAGTGCAATAATTTCTGTATTTGAAACAAATACCATTTAATTGACTCAAATAATAATTATTTGATACAAATAAACATTTATTTGATACAAATAAACATTTATTTGATACTCTCTAAATCTGAATTAGTAAAAATGTTTACTAATTTAAATTAGTGACTCACTTTTTGCTTTAGAATTAATTAAATTTTACTAATTGTTAGTAAAAGTTACTAATAATAATTAGTAAAATTTTACTAATTGAGAAGCAAAAAGTGAGTCACTAATTAAAATTAGTAAACTTTTTTACTAATTCAAATTTAGAGAGTAATAGTCAAGTAATCGAGTATTTGAATCAAATAAATTTTTTTTTTTCAGTGTACTAAAATATATTTCAAAAAAAAATCTTTACCTGGAACAGCGATAAGTTTTTCTAGAACAGCGATATATTTCTTTAAAATAGCGAAAACTTTTCCTGTTTTAGTGAAACATATCGCTGATCTAAAGATTTTTTTTCCATTTAAGAGAAATCCAATACAATGAGAATTACTTTTTTAATGTGATATTTATTTATTTAAAATTAAATTTTCTTTGCTATGAATAAAATTCGTCCTAATTCTAATTAAAAGAAATTATAATTCTATTTCTAAAAAAAAAATCATTGAATACTTTTTTCACGCATTATAAATGCGAAGAGAAAAAAGAAAAATATCCACATAATTTTTCAGTTCAGTGATGTTATGAAAGATGATAAAATGTGGAAAAAATGAGATAATTAAAAGTGGAGTATTTTTGCCACGCACATAGTGCACGGTTAAATTATTCCAGTGAGAACATTGGTGTCGCACTATATGGTTGTATAGCGACTGGCCTGTGTATAGTCTTGTAGTTTATTTTCTCACGCCCTCTTACTTTGCTTCTAGTGACGGTAAAGACCATAAGAGAGAAAGAGGGGGAGAAAAAAAGAGAGAGAGTGAGAGAATAGTGGCGAGCGAGTAAATGGGGGATGGGGGGGGGGGTTGGGTTAAAAGTGAAGGAATACGAGAGGAAGGAGTTTCAGTCAGTTTTCAGGGAAACTTGCCAGTGCAGGGATTAACTCTTGCCTCTAACAAAAACGGGAAGTGTGCACCGACGACGGGGTCTCGTGCAACTCGAGACCACGAATATATATCACTTGAACGGGTTCTTCTTACCCAGACTCGGAAACTCTGGGTCTATATCGTATCTAGACTTTAGTCTAGATTATACGCTTACTTAAGGCTCGTAATGCATGCACACGCGCTTACGAAAACTAAGCGATGTCAGATTCTCGTTTCCTCTTTCATTTAAAAGTGTTTCAACCCATTTGATAGCTGTTAATATCAATTTTTTTCTTTCAAATACCACTCGATACTGTATTTTTACTGAAAAATTAAATTTTTGAATTTCACTTGAAAAAAAAAAAAATTATTCTTTGAAACGAGAAAAAAATTTCTCTTGCGAAAATCCTCTTAAATCAAAAATATATTCACTGTAAAAAAAAGGTACTAAAATAGTACCAATTTTAGGTATTAAAATAGAACCAAGGGGCAATTTAGTACCTAAAGTTTGTATTAAATAAATACCCCTCGTTTTACAGTGTTATTACTAAAATTTTAAAAAAAATTAAATAGCTTTGTCTGACTAAAATCGACTTTTACTACTTATACTTAGATTTTGCAAAAACTATTTGTACGATTAAATTTTATTATTATCAGTAATGCAATTTTTTTTCAGTTTTGTCAACCTAAAACTAATTTTTAATACTCTTAGTTTTAATTTGAAAACGATTTTTTTGATTTAATTTGACTTTCATATAAATTTTTGTTTAAAGTGTTGTCTGACAGCAATTGACCTTTACTACTGATCCCAGGTGGAAAAGTTCCTGGTAGTGACTATCGGTAGTCATTACCGCTCCAGCTACCGGAATATTCACTACTGGTAGTCACTACCGGTAATTTTTCCGGTACTACCGGTAGTCACTACTGGTATTTACCACCGGTAATTTTTCCGGTACTACCGGTAGTCACTTCTGATAATTTTTCCGGTACTACCGGTAGTTACTACCTGTAACTTTTCCAGTACTACCGGTAGTGACTACCGGTAATTTTTCCGGGACTACCGGTAGTCATTACCGGTAATTTTTCCAGGAATTGCAATCAAAATTTATTATCAAATAACAAAATTTTGATTGTAACTCCCGGAAAAATTACCGGTAATGACTACCGGTAGTGACTACCGGTAGTCCCGGAAAAATTACCGACAGTGACTACCGGTAGTAAGGAAAAAATTACCGGTAGTGACTACCGGTAGTACCGGAAAAATTACCGGTAGTAACTACCGGTAGTACCGGAAGAATTACCGGTATTGACTACCGGTAGTCCCGGAAAAATTACCGGTAGTGACTACCGGCAGTCCCGGAAAAATTACCGGTAGTGCCTACCGGTAGTGGCTACCAATAGTCTAGGAAAAATTACCGGTTGTCACTACCGGGAACTTTTTCACCTGGGATACGACAATAATAAATATTTTAATTATTCTGTCTGACTAAAATTTACATTTACTACTTACAACAAAAACAAAACAGCAAAAGTTCTAAATAAAACTTTCTGTTACTATTGATTCTTAAATTAAAAAAAAATTCAAATCACTAAAATCGACTTTTACTAGTGATATCAAATTTATTAAAATAAAAATCGTTCTGTCTGACTAAAGTAGATTTGTACTACTTTTATAATTGGTACAATTAAAATTGCCTCTCTGATTAAAATTGATTTTTACTACTAAAATTGTAATGAGAAAAATTTTAAAAATATAAATCTATGTCAAATTAAAATTTACTTATGTTAAAATTGTCTTTTTTTAATTTAGTTACTCCGGAAGTATAATTATTTACTAAAATTGAAAATTGAAAAGAAAAAGAAAAATTAACAAGAAAATTATTTAAAAAAAAAAAATAACTTTTTCACTCCATTGTGATGGCAATGTTTCTCAAGTTAACTCTTGTAGTTAAGGAAAATCGTGATTGATACGGGCGTCATGATCCCTTATGCATGAAGTCACCAAGATGTAAATTTATCAGATGAACAGTCTCACCCTTGTTTCCACTATAGTTTGTCAGATACGGGTCTCGTCTCATATTGAAATCAGCAAAGTGGAAATTCCTTTTGTTTTTCACACGGAAAATTTCTATTATTTAAAAAAAATCTTTTTTTTTCTTTTATTTCGTTTTTTCCCCTTTATTTCGTTTTTTTTGTGCAGGGACAAAACCACTAAGGCTACTGTGTGAACTTTCAGATAACTTTCTACTTTTGCATAAATAACATGAAACTCATGTATGTAGGTACAACAAAACGGTGTATACTGGGCAGACGATCCATTTACCGAATATATAGATAGTACGTCAGTTTTCCATTATCATTACTCACCAGATTTTGTCCTCTTCCACGAGGTCCCTGTCATAGTGATACATAAAGCGCTACTTTGCCAATCGATATTTGTGAGCGGGGCAAAATTCACATTTTTCCTCATGTTCTATTTGTCAGGTTGTCAAAATTTCGCCTGAAAGCCCCTTTATACAGTAAATATTATCCGTAAATAATAATTAGGTTATACAATAATTTTTTTTTTGCATTACTTTCCTTTTTTTTAAAATTTTTGCTCA